TTTATTTAAGCGGAGACACACTACACTTGGCTAAAAATAAAATATAATAAAAGCTAACATTAGCAAAATAATTTAAAAGAATTGAAACAAGTTAATAAACATTATCATTATCATTATTTATATGTAATATTAAATTAAACAATATGTTTCAAGTTATTATATTTAACATTTCTTGGACATATTAATTTTGAACGGCAAGGGTGTGCGGCAGTCAGTGCGACGCTTCCTTGTGCCCTTGCCACCTACACAGTTAGGCTTGCATTAAATATTGCAATGCTAAGCTATCAGACAAAAGCTTTCGAAAGCTGCCAACAATTCAGCAATAAGTGGCGCAAAAGCTTTTTGTGTCCAATTTCATAATTTTGCGAATAACTGCAAACTAATATGACATTATTTTGATAAACATACATACATACATATCTATTAAGTATCTACATACATTTATATATACAGTATGTCCAAGTTACAAGTCCTAGTACAAATTCAACTTTGACATATTTTATTAGGAAAGACACTTTTTTTCATAATTTATTTTTACATTATTTCTGTTTTATGTATTCTTAACGAAAATAAATAAAAGAAACAATAACAAGTAAGAAAGCTCTAGTCGAGAGTGCCCGACTACGAGATTCCCTGAAGCTTTCGAGTAACTGATATTTCAATAATTAGAAGGGCATGGGGTAAATTTTAACAAAAATCGAAATTGTATAAAATACATATAAGTATACATATACAATTTGGAGACTCTAGCTTTAAAGATGTAGGAGATATAATTTTATCACTGATTTTCGATAAGGTTTTTTATCGATAAAAAATAATGGGATGGGTTATCGATTTTTGGTGATACGCTCGATATCCGCGCTGTATATACGGATATTTAAAAAAAAATTGAAGTCTCTAGCTCTTATACGGGACGGACGTACAGACAGACAGACGGACAGGGCCAAATCGACTCAGATCGTCACCCTGATCAAGAATATATATATATACTTTATGGGGTTTGCCACGCCTCCTTCTGCCTGTTACATACATTTCAACAAAACCATTATGCCCTGATTTCCCATTTTCAATGGGTTTAGGGTATAATAAAAATATAAACAAAAACATACAAAATAGTTGTAATTATATAATTATATTAATTGTTAAATTAATTTACAAAATGCAAACATTAATATTATGAAATTTGTAGCTCTCAAAGATGAGTATAGAATTGTCTAATATTTGGAATACTCCCATTAGCTTCCATTACACATATACATCTACATACATATGTACATATGTGTGTACATACATATGTCGTAGTGTTGAGGTATTTTGCGCCACTCCTCATGTATGCAACAAATTAACTCCTTTTTGGTCTAATGTAAAAATAAATTATGAAAAAAAATGTCCTTCCTAATGAAACATGATGTTAAAGGTGAACTGTATATTATATTTAAGTAAGCAACTAGAATCCACTTGTCTTTTGAAGTGCATTTACTTATTCATAGAAAATGAGTTTAGCTGTTCTTCTGCCTTCGGGCAGCGGCGATGACAATTGGAAAGGCAGATGTAACTTTCGCAAGGATTTACGCACAAGTGCAAAAACAAAAGGCGAAACACAAAGGGGATATGGACGAGAGCAGCAACAACACAAGATCAACAATAATATGACTAACGCAAGTAACCAGAGAGAAACAGCAGCAACAGCAGCAACAGCAGCAGCAGCAGCTGCAATAATAACAATACGCAAAGGAGGCAGCGACAAAGACAATGCCGAAGACGCCGCTCGGCATACATAGTACAGTCGCGGTGAGGTACTCATGCACACTCTTGGCATAGCCGGCCGGCGTGTAGTAAAAGAAGACAACGAATGCTGCAGTAAGCTTAATAACGGAACATGCGCACACCAAAGCGCGCGCGCAAATACATACATATACACATTTATTTGTTTGCTAAAAATGCACTCAAAACAAACGAAAAGCTGTTCGGTCGCAAGTGACGTCGCCGCTGACGCTGGCGCTGGCGCTGGCACCGCTACCGCCTCTAATTCTTGTGTGCGTTCTCTCAGCTTTTTATTTCACAATTCGCCATAGTATATGTATGTATGTTTGTATGTATATAATGTATTTACATATATGTATGTGAGTATGTGATGCACTTCAATATACTATTTGCATGCATGCGTTGAATTTCACCAACAAATGAAAAGCGAACAAATTCACTAATTATAGAACTTGGGCGATTCAGTTTGTTGTCTCGAGAGAAACACAAAGCTGCGTGAGAGCGAGCGCAAGAACGAAACTCCAACACACCACAGTGTGGTGAGCCGACTCACTCTCTGAGTAGTTGAGAGTTGAGCATTTTGCTGTGGAGAGTGAGCGGGAATGCGAGTGTAAGCGCCAGTCGCTTGGCAACATGTTGCGGCAGCATGCAGATACGCCCGGACGTAGTACTGCGCAACATACGGGCATCAATAGTTCGGTAGGTAGCAAGACGCTCTCCTTTTAGGCAGCCTAAGTTGACGACGCATACTAGGGCGTGGCATCGGCATTTTGTTGTCTCTGTTGTTATTCATTTGCATTTTCCACTAATCAAGGACATTGTCGTTGTCCTTTAATGCAAGGAAAGTCTGCAGCGAAATTACATTAAACATTTAAAGGTGTCTGTGCGGCAAGGCGTGGCAAGTGCGGGCAGGCTGTGTATCCTTTTGTTTTTTGGTATTTTGCCTGTCCTGCGGGCTGTCTGCAAATGTGGCACACAAATATGCGAGGGGTTTGCTGAAGCTGCCAGGCGAAAGTGGGGCTGAGCCTGTGGGGGCGTTGGGGTGCCTTTCTCTGATTAGATGGCACGTGTATGTCTCTGACTCTCTCTCTCTCTCTCCGTAGCCCTCGCTCGTTCTCGTCGTGCGTGCTGTCTGCGACCTTCAAAAAGCATAATGAAATCCGAGCAGCGAGCCCAAAACAAACTTGCCAGACAACAAAAAGGAGCAGGACATTCAACCGGCTGCTTGGAGCTGGGGGCGCACAGACAGCCCCAGAGCCATCCCAAGCCGGGCAGGACTGTGGGCCAAAGGCGGATTCCCGATTGCTGCTTGCGTGCGGTATTATCGTTCCCCGACGAGTCGTCCTTGGTCGTTCGCGCACTCAATCCTTGAAGGTCACCCAGCAGCAACAGCAACAGAAACAACTGGAATTATAATAACATCCTTGCTCTCAGCATATTTTCCTGCTCTGCATCCTGATGGCAGCTAGGGTAGAGTCTGCCCCCAGCCTAAGCCAATTTTAGGGTCTCTGTCTGTCCAACTGCGGGGACTGGGTAAAGGCATGCAGACAGCTCCAGCTCCAGCTCTAGCTTCAGCCTCGACTGAGACTCCAACTCCAGCTCGAGGGCGCTGCCAGGCTCAAGGACAACGGCGCAGGGCCAATGCCGAAATAACGTAATTGAGGCAGAGTCAAGGATAAACATCTTGAGAGTTGCGTCAATTCTCTAATCCTTTCGTGTCTGCATTCAGATTGCTTGAATTCCTGATTGAGTGATTGAATCAATGATTGAATTGACTGATTGATAGAAAGTAGCTAAAGGTAATTTTTGCAAACTTGGAGAAATGCGGATGGAATGAATCGATGCGGGTTGAATTCAAAGGGAGAGAGATGGAGAGAGAGAGAGAGTGAGAGAGAGAGAGAGAGAGAGAGAGAGTGAGAGAGAAAAAGCGGTCGAAAATAGTGGGAGAAGAAGGCTGAGCTGAAGAAGGAGTGAGGAAGAAAGTGAGAAGAGAGCAAAGACACACAGAGACGGTGACATTGGGAGAGAGAATAATAGCTGGTGGGTAAATTGAGCAGAAGAAAGGGAGAAAAAAGGAATTGAGATAAAGAGAAATGCAATAGGGCACGCGATAGATAGATAGAAGTAATGAGATGGAGAGAGAGCGAGGAAGAGAACGAGATGGAGATAAGTAGAGAGTAAAGCAGGGAGTGGGGTTACATAGTGCACATCAAGCCTGTCACATCCGCATCCACGTCGGCAACGAAGTGCACGAAGAGTGAGGCACAAGTGGACTCCGACAAAGGACTCACTCGACATTCGAAGTGGAGAAACATCAACATCAACAACAACACTTCAGTACCAATCGCATACCCTATTATAGTATGAGCTGGGTGTTTCAGCTAACTTCGAGCTGTTTGCAATTCATTTATTAAATTTTGCCATGAAATTCGATTGAATGTTTACATATCATATTTTTCGATTAACTGTTATAAATATATAACAAATATGCTGAATGCATCAAAATACAGATATGCTCCAAAGTCTGTTGCTTTCATATGAAAATGCTTTTCTTAATTTTCATTCAAAAAAGAAGTCTTGCCATGTGAGAGCATAGCATAACTAACTTTATTTATTGGCATCATTCATAGACATATATTACTATAAAATAAATGTGTAGTATAAGCCAATCTAAACAGCCGCAGCTAACTCGCATTACAGGGTATCTACAGCAGCACCCACAAAAAAACAAAAAATAAATAAATA